TGAAAAAAACAAAAACTGAAAAATTGTAAGATTTAAAAATTGAACAAATGAAAATTTGAGCACTTGGAACATACAAAAGTTTAAAAATTAATAACTGAAAAATTTTAAATTGTAAGCTCGAAATAATTACAAATCGAGGAACTGAAGAAACGAAAAATTGAATTCAAAAGTGAAAAATCGCAAAATTGATAAACCAAAAAAAAAATAAAAATTGACAAATTGAAAAATACCATGAATTCAAAAGTCAAAATTGCGATATTGAAAATCGAAAAATTGAAGAAACGAAAAATCTAAAAATGTCGAAAAACTACAAATCGAAGAATTGAAGAAACGAAAAATCAAAAGCTCGAAAAATTGAGAAATTGAAACTGAAAAACCAAAAATTTGAAAATTGAAGAAATGAAAAACTGAAAATGAAAAGTTCAAATAACACGAAGTGAAAAATTTGAAAAATTGAAAATAAAAACAAAAAAATTGTAACGTTTAAAAATTGAAAAATGAAAATTTGAGCAATTGGAAAATTCAAAAGTTTAAAAATCAGAAACGAAAAAATTTTAAATTGAAAACTCGAAAAATTACAAATCGACGAACTGAGGACACGAAAAATTGAAAGATCAGAAAATTAAAAGTTGAAAAACTGAAAAATCACAAAATTGAAAAAACCGAAAAAACTGAAAAATTGACAAAGTGGAAAGCACCATAAATTCAAAAGTAAAAATCTCGAAATTAAAAACTGAAAAATTGAAGAAACGAAGAATCCAAAAATGGAATAATTCAAATTGGCGAAACTGGAAAATCGAAAAAACTAAAAAACAAAACTGAAAAAATTGAAAAAAGAAAATTTGAACAACTTTAAAATTTAAAAGTTTAATCAAAAACTGAAAAATTTAAACTTGAAATCTCGAAAAATTGCAGAAACGAAAAAACAAAATCTCGAAAAATTGAGAAATTGAAAAACTGAAAAATCAAAAACCTGAACAATTTAAAAAAGCGAAAAACTGTAGAATCTTAGAATTGAAGAGACAAAAAACTGAAAATGGAAAAATTCAAATAAGAGAAAGTAAAAAATTGAAAAACTGAAAACAACAAAAACTGAAAAAGTGTAAGATTTCAAAATTAAACAAATGAAAATTGAAGCTTTTGAAACATACGAAAGTTCATAAAATTAATAACTGAAAAATTTTAAATTGAAAGCTCGAAAAATTACAAATCGAGAAACTGAAAAACGAAAAATTAATTTCAAAAGTGAAAAATCACAAAATTGAAAAACGAGAAAACTGAAAAATTGACAAATTGAAAAATACCATGAATTCAAAAGTGAAAATTGCGATATTGAAAAATCGAAAAATTGAAGAAACGAAAAATCCAAAAATGGAAAAATTGAAGTTGGCGAAACTGAAAAATCGAAAAATTGAAAAAAAAAAACCTGAAAAATTGTAAAACCCAAAAATTAAAAAAATTAAAATTTGAACAACCGTAAAATTCAAAAATTTAATTAAAAACTGAAAAATTTAAAGTTGAAATCTCGAAAAATTGCAAATCGAAGTACCGTATAAACGAAAAATCAAAATCTCGAAAAATTGAGAAATTGAAAAACTGAAAAATCAAAAACCTGAATAATTTAAAAAAGCGAAAAATTGTAAAATCTTAAAATTGAAGAGGCAAAGAACTGAAAATGGAAAATTCAAATAAGGGAAAGTGAAAAATTGAAAACGACAAAACCTGAAAAAGGGTAAGATTTCAAAATTGAACAAATGAAAATTGAAGCAAATACAACACTTTATAAAATTAAAAACTGAAAAATCGCAAAATTGAAAAAATAAAAAAAAACTGAAAAAATGACAAATTGGAAAACAGCATGAATTCAAAAGCAAATTAGCGATATTAAAAACTCGAAAAATTGTAGAAAAGAAAAATCGAAAAATGGAAAAATTCAAGTTGGCGAAACTGAAAAATCGAAAAATTGGAAAAAGGAAACCTGAAAAATTGTAACATTCAAAAATTGAAAAAATGAAAATTTGAACAACTGTAAAATTCAAAAGTTTAATTAAAAATAGAAAAGTTTATAGTTGAAATCTCCAAAAATTGCAAATCGAAGAATTGAAGAAACGAAAAATTGAGAAATTGAAAATCTGAAAAATCAAAAACTTGAATAGTTGGAAAAAGCGAAAATTTATAAAATCTTAAAATTGAAGAAACGAAACACTAAACATGGAAAAATTCAAATAAGAGAAAGTGAAAAATAGAAAAATAGAAAAAAACAAAAAAATCGCGATATTGAAAAATCTAAAAATTGAAGAAAATAAAAATCGAAAAAAGGAAAAATTCAAGTTAGCGAAACTGAAAAAATTGTAAGACCGAAAAATTGAAAAAATGAAAATTTGAACAACTGTAAAATTCAAAAGTTTAATTAAAAACTGAAAAATTTAAAGGTGAAATCTCGAAAAATTGCAAATCGAAGAATAGTAGAAACAAAAAATCAAAATCTCGAAAAAAAATTGAGAAATTGACAAAAACTGAAAAACCAAAAACCTGAATAATTTAAATAAGAGAAAATAAAAAATCGAAAAATTGAAAAAAACAAAAACTGAAAAATTTTAAGATTTAAAAATTGAACAAATGAAAATTTGAGCATTTGGAATATACAAAAGTTTAAAAATTAATAACTGAAAAATTTTAAATTGTAAGCTCGAAAAATTACAAATCGAGGAACTGAAGAAACGAAAAATTGAATTCAAAAGTGAAAAATCGCAAAATTGATAAACCAAAAAAAATAAAAATTGACAAATTGAAAAATACCATGAATTCAAAAGTGAAAATTGCGATATTGAAAATCGAAAAATTGAAGAAATAAAAAATCCAAAAATGGAAAAATTCAAGTTAGCGAAACCGAAAAATCGAAATATTGAAAAAAGCAAACCTGAAAAATTGTAAAACCCGAAAATTGAAAAAAATGAAAATTTGGACAACCGTAAAATTCAAAAATTTAATTAAAAACTGAAAAACTTTAAGTTGAAATCTCGAAAAATTGCAGATCGACGAATTGAAGAAACGAAAAATTGAGAAATTGAAAAACTGAAAAATCAGAAACTTGAATAATTGAAAAAAGCGAAAAATTGTAAAATTTTAATATTGAAGAAACGAAAAACTGAAAATGGAAAAATTCAAATAAGAGGAAGTGAAAAATCGAAAAATTGAATAAAAAAAAAACTGAAAAATTTAATTAAAAACTGAAAAATTTTAAGTTGAAATCTCGAAAAATTGCAAATCGACGAATTGAAGAAACGAAAAATTGAGAAATTGAAAAACTGAAAAATCAGAAACTTGAATAATTGAAAAAAGCGAAAAATTGTAAAATTTTAAAATTGAAGAAACGAAAAACTGAACATGGAAAAATTCAAATAAGAGGAAGTGAAAAATCGAAAAATTGAATGTTCCGGTTCGAAGTTTGTTAATATTTTGTTTTGATTTTGTTTGTTTTCCCGCGGATTGCTGACAAGTGTATTTTGGTCACTTTCCACTAGAGGCGCCATAGTACCGAGCAAAAGGGCCCGGTACTTGGGGTTGGCGCTGTTATCGAACAGAGTTATCGAGAAACCCTCAGAGAGGTAACATCGCTAAGGTGGGCGTTAAGTGAACGCAGTTGCCATCTTGTGTGACGTAAATCGCGAATTGTTGTCGCGAAACTTAGACACGTGGTTCCTTTGTGCATGCGGTCTACAAACCCTCAACCCAGGAGGCTGAACAAAACAAGGTAGGTGACCTTTTGATGCGTTTGTCAGCTTCGATCCAAATTTTAATATTATTTTTTTGGAATTGTAAAATCGCCGCGAAAAAAAGGTGTTTTCAAAGCCTTTACGTCCAACATTGAATAAAAAAAAACTGAAAAATTGTAAGATTTAAAAATTGAAGAAATGAAAATTTGAACAATTGGAAAATTCAAAAGTTGAAAGTCAAAAGCCGAAAAATTTAAAAATGAAAACTCGGAAAATTACAAATCGAGGGGCTGAAGAAACGAAAAATTGAAAGCTCACAAAATTAAAAGTCGAAAAACTGAAAAATCGTAAAGTTGATAAAACCAAAAATTAAAATACTTGTCTAAAAATTGAAAAATTGAAAAGTGGAAAATAGGATAAATTGAAAAGTAAAAATCAGGAAAATAAGAAATCGAAAAATTGAAAAATCGATAAACTAAACAATCGGAAATCGGAAAAATTTTAAATTGAAAAAGCGAAAAATTGTATAAAGGAAAAATTTAAATTAGAGAAACTGTAAAAACGAAAAATAGAAAAATCAAAAACTGAAAAATTGTAAGATCCGTAAATAGAAGAAATGAAAATTTGAGTAATCTGGAAAATTCAAAAGTTTAAACAATCACTTAAAATTAAGAAATCGATGCCAATTAAAACCATGTTGTGACCTGTGGCCACCCAGTTTGAATTTGACAGACGGAAAGTATATAAAACACCTTTAGAAAAAAATGTCAGCGTGACTCTATTACATAATTATCGTTTGGAAAGTAAAAACGTGTGTACGCAGCCTAAAAAATGTTTGTACTTTGTATTATCGCTTGTAATATACCTACGCATAGAGTTAATTAAATAATTCTATGAATATACTTAAGTTTTCACTTTTAAGTGAAGTTGTTACTTTGGCCACAGTAATGGGACACGCTGTATATGAAAATATTTTAACGCAAGGATGACTTAACTGGACTTCAGTTTAGTTGACTCACTCTGTATAATGTGGTATAATAATACCTATTATATTAAAAACAGTAAAGTGTCCTTTGTTATTTGAAAGCTGTTCTTCTCGTCCTCTTCTGTTCTTTTCATACGTATCATCCATTGTGTAAAAAAAGAACAAGTCCCAATTAAGACTCAAACCTCGCGAACAATACCTTTTTTCGAGCATGTACAGTTAAACCTCTCTCCTCATTGTTAAAACAGCCGTGCGAATTCCTCCGTTTTGCATAACAGTTTATCGACAAAAAGCAATCAGCTGTTCGCCGCATAACTGGTTGCCTACCTCCCTCGATCCTCAGATAAATTCCAGCCATCAGCCCAGCCGCCTCCGATCGAGTGCTTCTCGACCTCGAGCCCACCCCCATGACCTTTTTTTACGTAACCTCCCCTCCCAATGGTAAAATAGAAAGTCTTCTCGCAAGTGAAATGCTCATGGAAGAAACCAACATGGCGTCCAGATGCACATAACCGTGTCTTTCGCTCCGCTCCTCTCGATGTGAAGCCAAATCTGTCGCAATCCTCCACGACGGGAGCCCCCATGGCGGCCCCGCGCAAGAAGTGATGCTCTTCGCCGCGTTCCCCTCGCACAGGTGAGCCCCGCCGCCTCGCCCTCCGAGTCTAGCAACCCCTTGCAGGTAGTCGCACCATGGCAGACCAGGCCCAGACCATCGAGTACCAGTGGGCCTACTCCATCATGGACTCCAGCCGCGTGTCCACCTTCCTCATATCCATGCTGCTGATCGTCTACGGCTCCTTCCGCAGCCTCAACATGGAGCAGGAGGCGCGGGACCGCGCCAACGGCAGCACCAACTGCCTGCTCAACCCCTCGCAGCAGGCGCAGACGGAGAGCAACGTGCAGACGCTGGACACCATGCAGGCGCTGTGTTTGCCCCTGGGCGCCAGCATCTCGCTGCTCGTGATGTTCTTCTTCTTCGACTCGATGCAGATGCTCTTCGCCATCTGTACGGCGAGTAAGTGACCGACGACAGCGTGGGGGCCATCTGACGGCTCTGTTGCAGTTATCGCGACGGTCGCCCTCGCGTTCCTCCTGCTGCCCATGTGCCAGTATATCATCCGGCCGTGCTCCGATGGCAACAAGATCTCGTTCGGGATGTGCGGCAGGTTCACGGCAGCTGAGCTGCTATCGTTTTCGTTGTCGGTTTTCATCGTGTGTATATGGGTGCTAACGGGTAAGTCAACCATTTTTTCGATTCTTGTGGTGGCCGTTTACCCCCACATGCCTTGAAAATTTAAGGGTTAAAAAAATATACTTCAACCCCAAAATCGTGCATGATGTTAGAGAATATCAGGGAAGTGACAGTTGTGAATTAAACGAAAATGACCCTTTGTGACAGTGGTAAATTAATATCATAATTATTGCTGACACTTTTTGCGACAAAAATAGATTGATGAAAACGAAGTGAACCGGTTTTTAGTTTTATTTTGCCATTTCTCCAACCTAGTGGATCTACTTTTAAATTTTAGTGACTCATTAGTCTGAGCACCAGATCAAATTAAAATTTTATGCCACTTTTCTATTTAGCACAGCGGTCACTTAACCATTTTCACTTTGCTAAAAATGCAATTTTCGTCCTTGTGCACAGTCTGATTCAGTGTCGTAAATACTTAAAGTTGATGTCGCTTCTCTGATATTACATTAAATTTCAGAGGTTGCTAGACGACTTTTTTTCAATCCTATGCTTAAAAAATTCATTCTCAAGTTTTAAAAAGTGGAAGAGTGTGAAAAATGTAAATATTGTTAAGATAAATTTAATACAGGATGTCCTGTTTTAAAAAGAGGGACTTCAAAGAGAATGCTGTTTACAAAAAATAATTGCTGACATTAATTTGCCAGAAAGTGTTTTGATTTTCTATTTCCAATTTGTCATTTGTCCAACGTACGATCACTTTGTGATGTATACAATTTTCGCCCATGTGCACACTTTGGTAAGTGTCATAAGCAAGTTGATGTCCTTATTGTGGAAGCTGTCGCTTCTCTGATATTTCTGTGCAGTGTCAGGGTCTTCACAGTTCATAAGATACTTGCACATTTATTTACGGAAGTATTAATATTATATGATCGAAAAGAAAATCCTCCAGTAGGCCATGGAATTTATTTTAAAACTAATTATGTTGGTAATGCAGCTATTTGACCCTTTATTTGACAGTTGTTAGATCGTAACTGTCAAACCGAATAAGCAACACATGAGTGTTGTCAACGTAATTTTTTTAACATTAAATTTCACAGGTTTCTAGACGACTGTTTTAAATCTGATATTTAAAAATCCATTGTTCCCGCATTTTTAAAACGAGGAAAGCTGTGTCACAAAAAATGCAAAAATTGTTAAAAATAAACTTAATATACAGGATGTCCTGTTTCAAATTCAGATACTATAAAAAGAGTAATGCTTAGTATTAGAGAATATTAGGGAGTGACACTTACAAATTAAACGAAAATGACCCTTGGTGACAATTTAAATTTCATACAAAAAAACAATTATTGACTAATTTACCAGAAAAATAGATTACTGAATCCAAATACCAGAACAAATTAAAATTTTACGCCACCTTTCTATTTAGCACAATGGTCACTTATCCATTTTTACTTTGCGATGTATGCAATTTTTGCCCTTGTGCACACTCTGATAAGTGTCATAAAGATTGAAAGTTGATGCCATTATTGTGGAAGCTGTCGCTTCTCTGATATTTCTGTACGGTACCAGGGTCTTCCTTGTTCTAACTAACAGTTCATGAGATGTTTGCACATTTATTTCCGCGATTGTTAATTTCATATGATCGAAAAGAAAATCCTCCAGTAGCCATGGAATTTATTTTTAAAATAATTATGTTGGTAATGCAACCATTTGACACTTTATTTGACAGTTGTTAGATCTGTCAAACTGAATAAGGAACGGCTGATTATTGCCAACATAATTTTTTTAACATTAAATTTTAGAGGTTTCTAGACGACTTTTTTCAATCTGATATTTAAAAATGCATTGTTCCCTAATTTTTAAAAAGTGAAAGGCTCGGTAAAAAAAAGTATACAAAAATTGTTAAGATAAACTTAATATACATGATGTCCTGTTTCAAAAAGAGAGGTTATAAAGAGAATAATGTCTGGTATTAGAGAATATCAGAGAGTGACAGTTACTAATTAAACGAAAATGACCCTTAGGGACACTTTAAATTTCATACAAAAAATAATCACTGACTTAATTTACCAGAAAAATGGATTACTGAAAAAAGAAAATGTTTTGATTTTCTATTTCCATTTTGTCTTGTTTTCAACGCACGAAGTCTTAATATCAACTTTAAATTTTACATTGAAAATATTTTAGTGACACAATTCTGAGTACCAAAACAAATCAAAATTTTACGCCAATTTTCTATTTAGCATAACGGTCACTTATGCATTTTCACTTTGCAATGTAAGCAATTTTCACCCTTGTGCACACTCTGATAAGTGTCATAAACATTGAAAGTTGATGTCATTGTGGAAACTGTCCCTTCTCTGATATTTCTGTGCGGTACCAGGGTCTTTTCAGTTCTGACTAACAGTTCATAAGATATTTGCACATTTATTTACAGAAGTGTTAATATCATATGTTCGAAAAGAAAATCCTCCAGTAGCCATGGAATTTATTTTTAAAACAATTATGTTGATAATGCAACCATTTGACACTTTATTTGACAGTTGTTAGATAGTAACTGTCAAACTGAATTAGGAACGGCTGAGTATTGCCAACATAATTTTTTTAACATTAAATTTCAGAGTTTTCTAAACGACTTTTTTCAATCTTATATTTCAAAAACCCATTGGTCCTGCATTTTTAAAAAGTGGAAGGCTTTGTCAAAAAAAAAAAACAAAAATTGTTAAAATAAACGTAATATACAGGATGTCCGGTTTCAAATTCAGATACTATAAAAAGAGTAATGCTTAGTATTAGAGAATATCAAGGAGTGACACTTACAAATTAAACGTGACAATTTAAATTTCATACAAAAAACAGTTACTGACTAATTTACCAGAAAAATAGATTACTGAAAAAAGAGTGTGTTTTGATTTTGTATTTCCATTTTGTCTTCCTTCCAACGTACGAAATCCAAATGCCAAAACAAATTAAAATTTTATTCCACTTTTCTATTTAGCACAACGGTCACTTATCCATTTTTATTTGCGATGTATGCAATTTTGGCTCTTGTGGACACTCTGATAAGTGTCATAAAGATTGAAAGTTGATCTCATTATTGTGGAAGCTGTCGCTTCTCTGATATTTCTGTGCGGTGCCAGGGTCTTCCTAGTTCTGACTAACAGTTCATAAGATATTTGCACATTTATTTACAGAAGCGTTAATATCATATGTTCGAAAAGAAAATCCTCCAGTAGCCATGGAATTTATTTTTAAAATAATTATGTTGGTAATGCAACCATTTGACACTTTATTTGACAGTTGTTAGATCTGTCAAACTGAATAAGGAACGACGGAGTATTGCCAACATAATTTTTTTAACATTAAATTTCAGAGGTTTCTAGACGACTTTTTTCAATCTTATATTTGAAAATGCATTGTTCCCGCATTTTTAAAAAGTGGAAGGCTTTGTCAAAAAAATAAAAAATATAAAAATTGTTAAAATAAATTTAATATACAGGATGTCCGGTTTCAAATTCAGATACTATAAAAAGAGTAATGCTTAGTATTAGAGAATATCAGGGAGTGACACTTACAATTTAAACGAAAATGACCCTTGGTGACAATTTAATTTTCATACAAAAAACAATTACTGACTAATTTACCAGAAAAATAGATTACTGAAAAAAGAAAGAGTTTTGATTTTCTATTTCCATTTTGTCTTTCTTCCAACGTACGAAATCCAAATACCAGAACAAATTAAAATTTTACGCCACCTTTCTATTTAGCACAATGGTCACTTATCCATTTTTACTTTGCGATGTAAGCAATCTTCGCCCTTGTGCACACTCTGATGAGTGTCATAAACATTGAAAGTTGATTTCAGTATTGTGGAAGTTGTCGCTTCTCTGATATTCCTGTGCGGTGCCAGGGTCTTCCCAATTCTAACTAACAGTTCATAAGATATTTGCACAGTTATTTATACAAGTGTTAATATCATATGATCGAAAAGAAAATTCTTCAGTAGGCCATGGAATTGATTTTTAATATTATTATGTTGGTAATGCAGTCATCTGACAGTTTATTTGACAGTTGTTAGATCGTAATTGTCAAACCGAAAAAGGCACCGGTGATTATTGCCAACATAATTTTTTTAACATTAAATTTCAGAGGTTTCTAGACGACTTTTTTCAATCTGATATTTAAAAATTCATTGTTCCCTCATTTTTAAAAAGTGGAAGGCTCTGTCAAAAAAAAAAAAAATACAAACATTGGTAAAATAAACTTAATATACATGATGTCCTGTTTCAAAAAGAGAGATTATAAAGAGAATAATGTCTGGTATTAGAGAATATCAGAGAGTGACAGTTACTAATTAAACGATAATGGCCCGTAGGGACACTTTAAATTTCATACAAAAAATAATCACTGACTAATTTACAAGAAAAATAGAATACTGAAAAAAGAAAGTGTTTTGATTTTCTATTTCCATTTTGTCTTGTTTTCAACGCACGAAGTCCAAATACCAACTTTAAATTTTAAATTGAAAATATTTTAGTGACACAGTTCTGAGTACCAAAACAAATTAAAATTTTACGCCAATTTTCTATTTAGCATAACGGTCACTTATCTATTTTCACTTTGCGATGTAAGCAATCTTCGCCCTTGTGCACACTCTGATAAGTGTCATAAACATTGAAAGTTGATGTCATTGTGGAAACTGTCCCTTCTCTGATATTTCTGTGCGGTACTAGGGTCTTTTCAGTTCTGACTAACAGTTCATAAGATATTTGCACATTTATTTACGCAAGTGTTAATATCATATGATCGAAAAGAAAATCCAGAAAATCCTCCAGTAGGCCATGGAATTTATTTTTTAAATAATTATGTTGGTAATGCAGCCTTTTGACATTTTATTTGACAGTTGTTAGATTGTAACTGTTTAACCAAATAAGAAACAGATAAGTGTTGCCAACTTAATTCTTTTAACATTAAATTTCAGAGATTTCTGGACGACTTTTTCAATCTTATATTTAAAAATCCATTATTCCTTCATTTTTAAAAAGTGGCATGTTGTTGTCAAAGAAAAAATGCAAAAATGTTTTAAAAGGAGAGGCTATAAAGCAAATTTTTCGTATTAGAGAATATCACGGAGTGACCGTTGCTAATTAAACGAAACTGATCCTTAGTGACAATTTAAATGCCATACAAAATGTATGTAATTATTGGCATTAATTTACCAGAAAAATAAATTCGTGAAAACAAAATGAATCGGTTTTTATTTTCATTTTTTCTTTTTATAACGTAATGAAGTAAATAGCAACATTTAAATTTTGAGTACCTGAACAAACTGAAATTTTACGCCACTTTACTATTTAGCACAACGGTCACTTATTCATTTTCGCTTTGCATTGAATGCAATTTTCAACCATATATACACTCTGATACGTGTCATAATCATTTCAAGTTGATGTTGTTAATGTCAGAAGCTGTCGCTTCTCTGGTCCTTCTGTTGATATCAGAGTTTTCCAGGTTATTTTCACTTTTAGTCGTATTTAAAAAAGAGAAATCCGACGGTTCGAAAATTAAATCGTTCTTTATAATTTTTCATGCATTGAATGCAATTGTGGCTCTTATGCACACTATGATAAATGCCATAATCATTTAAAGGTGATATTATTATTAATGTCGGAACTGTCGCTTCTCTGATACTTCTGTATGGTATGGGGCTCTTGTGGCTAACTGTTCATAAGATATTTGCACCATTATTTAAAAAATTGTGAAAAAGTAGCAGACTTAAAAAATGCAAAAATTGTGAAGGCAAACTTAATATACAGGATGTCCTGTTCCAAAAAAAGACACGATAAATACAGTAATGCATGTATTAGAGAATATCAGGGAGTGACAGTTGCGGATTACATGAAAATGACCCTTAGTGGCCATATAAGTCTGAAGAATTTGTTTGAATATGTTAAAAAATGCACTTTTCCAGTCCAACCTTGTTTTAAAAACCGATCGACATAACTGGTAATCGAGTTAGCTTTCCGATGTGATTCATCCAAATAATTTGTAACCGACTTAGCTCGCAGACGTCACGTATTTATTATTAACTTACGCTTGACACCTGAATTTAGAGCAGACGTACGATTTTCTGTCAAGCGCTCACTCGATTACTAATTTAAAACAATTAACTTAATTCGAAAACGTACACATTTATGCACCGTGATTTTAAAAATGGAAATCGTGTGTGTCGTGATTTCTATCTCATGTGCCATTTACCCACGCGAGCTTGCGTTTTTCGCTTGATCTTTAAGTGTCATCTGCGTATAAATTAGCGTCGTTGCCAGCCGTTTACCCTTGCCTGCTCGAAAGTGACCGTCTGTGTGTCATTGCAGGTCATTGGCTGCTGATGGACGCCATGGGCATGGGCCTCTGCGTCGCCTTCATCGCCTTCGTGCGTCTGCCCAGCCTCAAGGTCTCCACCCTCCTCCTCACCGGTCTCCTCATCTACGACGTCTTCTGGGTGTTCTTCTCGTCGTACATCTTCAGTACAAACGTGATGGTGAAGGTGGCGACCCGGCCGGCGGAGAACCCCGTGGGCCTGGTCGCCCGGAAGCTGCACATCGGGGGTGTGGCGAAGGAGGCCCCCAAGCTGAGTCTGCCGGGCAAACTCGTTTTTCCCAGTATCCATAATAGCGGTCATTTCAGTATGTTAGGTTGGTAGCGGTGCGCGGTGTGGTGCGTGCGCGTCTACAGGGTTTTTTTCTTGTAGGTTTAGGTGACATTGTGATGCCAGGTTTGTTGTTGTGTTTCGTGTTGAGGTACGATGCTTACAAGAAGAGTCAGGGCTTGACGGGGTCGAGGCTCACGTATTTTCATTGCTCGCTTTTGGGGTACTTTCTGGGGCTGCTGACGGCGACTGTCAGCTCGGAGGTGTTTAAGGCGGCTCAACCGGCGCTTCTGTATTTAGTTCCGTTCACTTTATTGCCTCTACTCACCATGGCGTATCTGAAGGTAAGCAGTGGAGGTTTGCATGTGGTGGGGGTAGGTGGACAATGTAGTACTAGGTTTGTTTAATTGATGAGAGTGCGGAATGGGCAGGCGCATAATTTTGAATTCATTCGGTGTTTTTCTTTTTACTATATGTATTTATAATCATGAACTACTAAAAAACCCCTAAATTTTCTAAAAGTCGTCATATTTTAACCACGATAACTCACGTGTATAAAAGAAAATTTTAAATTAAATAATTCTAACCAAGTTCCAGAAAATCACATGTATTTCTATACATATATAGGAAATTCAATATTTGTCACTTCAGAACGTTTTAGATACTGAGGTTTTTTGCTTTTAAAATATGATTTTCCTAAACAGAAATTGACGCTTTTTTGAAACTAAAAAGAAAATAGACATGTATTTTTAATTCCCGAGCGTAACATATGGAAGTATAATAATTCCATCGGGCGACTTGCTATTTTTATGTTTTCTCGACATTCCATGACCCCAAGAGTACAAAAAAATTGCTCTTCCGTTTCCGCGTGTGTTTGTTCGTCCACCGTCTGTGTCGATTTTTATTTTTTATTAGACAGATAATATCCAAAATTACCGGACCGATTGTTGTGAAATTTTGTATTCATATTAAGAATATCATGTAGGTGGTAAAACGTAAACCAAAATTTGTTTGATCATCCCCAGCAACAACAGAATGACGCAATCTCCAAATTTTATAAAATAACGTACCCCGCCATTTGTGGTTTATGAATCCGTGTTGAGTTTTGACTCTAGGCGTCCAGATTTTGAAAAAAAAAGATCAAAACTGTATAACAACATTATAGAATTTAATATTGAAATTGCAAAGTTGAATGCTTTGAAATCTTAAGCTTCTCGGGAGCATAGTAAATCGTTAATCAAAATTTATCAGTTCATCCCCCTACTCTCCACAGGAATTGATGATGTCATCTTACAATTTTATCAAATAAACGTTATTTAAATGTTAAAAAGTAATATAGTCCTGAACTTGTGGTTTATGATAGCCATATTTGAAAAAAAAAAAAAATCAAAATTGTATAATATATATTGTTATACAACAATTTTTTGCGATTTTTCGGCTTTCTGATTTATCAATTTTTCGGTAGTTTATTTTTGGAATTTTTAAGTGTTTTGTTCCTTCAATTTTTTGATTTTGGAACTTCTCGATTTTTAATTTTTTTACTTATGCTTTGGGATTTTTTAATTTTTCGATTTTTCAATTTCTCGACTTTTAAAAATTTTTTATTTTCCTTTTTTTTTAATTTTTAGTTCTCAATTTTCCGAAGTTTTATTTTTACAATTTTTCAATTTTTGGCGTTTCTAAAATTGCGATTTCTTGATTTCTCGATTAATTGATGAATAAACTTTTCAATCTCTCGATTTTTTGATTTTTCCATTTCTCGATTTTTCCATTTCTCGATTTATCGACTTTTCGATCTTTCGATTTCTCGATTTTTTAGTTTTTCAATTTTTTCGTTTTCAGGTTTTTGATACTTTTACTTTTTGGATTTTTTCAACTTTTCGATTTCACGATTTTTCAGGTTTTGATTTCTCGATTTTACGGTGTTTAATTTTGGGATTTTTTTTTATTTTTCGTTTCTTTAATTTTTCTTGCATTTTTCGATTTTTCGGTTTTCGTCTTCTTAAAATTTTATTTTTTCAATTTTTCGAATTTTAAATTAATAGATTTTTCAATTTTTTATTTCTCGATCTTTTTGTTTTTCAACTTCTCGGTTTTAGATTTTTCGATGTTTAAAATTCTTGATTTTTCAATTTCTCGATTTTTAATTTTTCGATACTTCAGTTTTGGAAATTTTTTAATTTTTCGATTTTTCAATTTCTCAACTTTTTAAAATTTTTGATTTCCCGATTTTCTTATTTTTAGGTTTCTTTCCGATGTTGCATTTTTACATTTTTTTAATTTTTGGCGTTTCCAAAATTTCGATTTCTCAATAATTAATTAACTTTTCAATTTCTCGATTTTTTTATTTTCCCTTTTCTCGATCTTTCGATTTTTCTGCTTTTCAATTTTTCGATTTTTATGTTTTCGGCTCTTCTACTTTTCGATTTCTCGATTTTTCAGGTTTCGATTTCTCGATTTTTCGATGTTTAATTTTGTTTTTTTTTTAATTCTTCGATTCTTCAATTTTTCTTCGATTTTCGATTTCTCGATTTTTACTTTTTTGTTTAAATTTTTCGAATTTTTTAGTATTAGATTTTTCTATTTTTTATTTCTCGATCTTTCGGTTTTTGGATTTTTGAATTTTTCGATTTTTCGATGTTTCAATTTTTCGATTTGATTTTTCAATTTTTCGGTTTTTCAATTTATCGATTTTTTAAGTTTTCAATTTTTCATTTATTAATTTTTAGATTTCTCGGTTTTTCTATTTTTCGACTTTTCCGCTTTTCGATTTTCCAATTTTAAATATTTCGATTTTGCAATTTTTCGATTTTCAAAATTGTCGATTTCGCGATTTTTTTTACTTTTTCTCAATTTTCCGATGTTTCAGTTTTACAATTTTTCAATTTTTGTCGTTTCCAAAATTTCGATTTCTCGATTAATCCATGAATCAACTTTTCAATTTCCCGATTTTTTGACATTTCAACATGTGTATTTTTCAATTTTTAGGTTTTTCATTTGTCACTTTTTCGATTTTTTAAATTTTCAACTTTTCGATTTTTCAGATTTTTATTTCTTGGTTTTTCGATATTTAACGTTGGTGGGATTCTTAAATTTTTCGAATCTTCAATTTGTCTTCGATTTTTCGACTTTTCGATTTTTGATTTCTCAATTTTTTGTTTTTCAATTTTTCGAATTTTTAGATTTTTCAATTGTTTATTTCTCAATCGTTTGCTTTTACGACTTCTCGGGTTTAGATGTTTGAGTTTTTCGAAGTTTCAATTTTTCAAAATTTTCTGTATTTATCGAAATTTCGATTTTTCGATTGCTAAATTTTCGGATATAATTTTTCAATTTTTAATTTTTAAATTTCTCGGTTTTTCGATTTTTCGACTTTTCCGCTTTTCGATTTTCTAATTTTAGATATTTTGATATTCAAGTTTTCGATTTTCCAACTTTTCGCCATGTCAGTTTCGAGACAAGTTTTTCGAGTCTTCGATTTTTCGATTTTTTAAATTTTACATTTTTTGTTAATTCAATTTTTCGTTTTTACGATTTTTTGATGTTTCGATTTCCCAATTTGTTTAAATTTTTAAATTTTTCGCATTTTCGATTTCTGGACATCTCCCTTTTTCGATTTTTAAAATTTCTCCTCTTTCAAATTGTCGATTTTTCACGTTTTCAACATTTCAATTTTTCAATTTGGAAATTTTTTAGTTTTTGGGTTAACAATTTTTCGATTTTTAAAATTTTTCGATTGTTTGATTCTCGATTTTTTTTTAATTGTTTGATTTTCGATTTTGTGATTGTTTGATTTTTGATTTTGCGGTTTTAGCTTTTGGAATTTTTCGATTGTTCGATGTTTCAATTTTACAAAATTTCGATTTCTGGATTTATCTATCGAGATTCAGATTTTTCATTTGCCCAATTTTCCGATTTGATTTTTCAATTTTTCAATAGTTGGATTTATTGATTTTGTAAATTTCCGTGTTTCGATTTTTCGACTTTTCCGCTTTTCGATTTTTCAGTGAGACACATTTCGATTTTTCAATTTTTCGATTTTCTAGCTTTTCGCCATTTCAGTTTTAGGATTTTTCAATTTATCGATTTTTCAGTTTTACGATTAATTAATTTTTCGATTTTTAAAATTTCTGTTCTTTCAAATTGTCGAATTCTCACCTTTTCAACATTTTAATTTTGGAAATTTTTCATTTTCTGGCTTTACAATTTTTTTATTGTTGTCGATTTCTCACTTTTTCAAGATTTCAGTTTTGGAAATTTTTCAATTTGTGTTTATAATTTTTCGATATTCTAATTTCTCGTTTTTTTAAATTTAAAATTTTCGATTTTTTTATTGTTTCATTTTCGACGTTTCGATTTTGGATTTTTCGGTTTTCCAATTTTTCGATTTTTAAACTTTTTGGTTTTTCAATTTTTCAATATTTCAATGCTCGATTTTCGATTTTTGGACTTTCCCGATTTCGATTTTCCGCTTTTTCAATTTTTGGACTTGTAAAATTTTTGGTTTATCGATTTTTCAATTGCTCAATTTTCCGATTTGATTTTGCAGTTATTCGATGTCTTAAATTTTTTAATTTTTAAAATTTTCGGATTTTCGATTTTTCGACTTTTTCGCTTTTCAATTTTTCGATTTTCCAACTCTTCGCCATTTCAGTTTTGGGATTTTTCGATTTCTCAATTTCGTGTTTTTTTGATTTTTCAGCTTTTCGTTTTTACGATTTTTTGTTGTTTCGATTTCCCAATTTTTAAAATTTCTCAATGTTTCGGATTTTCGATTTCGGGACATTTTCAGCTTTTTCAATTTCTAAATTTTCCCATCTTTCAAATTGTGTCACTTTTTCAACATTTCAATTTTGGAAAATTTTCAGTTTCTGGGCTTACAATTTTCCGATATTTGAATTTTTGGGTTTTTTAACTTTTAAATTTTTCGATTCTTTTATTGTTTGATTTTCGATTTTTTTATTGTTACATTTTCGATTTTTCAATTTTTCGATTTTTAAAATTATTGGTTTTTCAATTTTTCGACTTTTTCGCTTTTCAATTTTCGATTTTCCAACTTTTCGCCATTTCAGTTTTGGGATTTTTCGATTTCTCAATTCCCAATTTTTCGATTTTACAACATTTCGCCATTTCAGTTTTGGGATTTTTCGATTTCTCAATTCCCGTTTTTTTGATTTTTCAGTTTTTCGTTTTTACGATTTTTTGTGATTTCGATCTCCCAATTTAAAAAATTTCTCAATGTTTCGGATTTTCGATTTCGCGACATTTTCAGCTTTTTCAATTTTTAAATTTTCCCTTCTTTCAAATTGTTTCACCTTTTCAAGATTTCAATTTTGGAAAATTT